AACACAACTAACCCCCCCCCCCCCCCCCGGGCCAGATTGGCCCAGGGATCCTGGAAGTGTTTTGCCTTCCTCTGGCCATAAAACAGGGGTCGGGGGGGGGGGGGCTGTGAATCTCCTGCATTGTGCCAAGGTTGGATTAGTTGACCCTTGAGGTCCCTTCCAGCTCTTTTTCTATGATGTTGATAAATCAGTCCACAGGCTAGGAGCCAAACACGAGAGCGCTAAAAAAAAGAAGGAACGCCTTAATTAAAAGCTTGAGTAAAGAGAAATATCTTGGCCTGGAGCCTAAAAGACAGCAAAGTAGATTAAAAGTGAGCTTCAACATGGAGGGCGTTCCAAATGCAAGGCGCCACCATGATAGGAAAAATATAAAAACAGTAATAAACAAATCTCACAGTCACACAGAATTAGGGATGGGCATGAACAACAAAAAAAATGTGGTTCGTGTTGGTTCCTGTCCAAACCACGAGCCAAACTGGTTTGTGGCCCCATAAACACCGTTGAGAGGGACCACAGACCCTTTATCCAGGGTTTGCAGAAAGCCTGGAAAACAGCCGAGCGGCAGGGACCAGCCCGCTTCCCACTGCTTAGCTGTTTTGGGCTGTCTTGTGCAGTCCCTTTAACTCAGCCGCTCAGCTGTTTCTCTTTCTTGTTCAGTCCCTTTAAAGTGAATTGCACAAGAAAGCTGGAAAAACAGCAGAGTGGCGGGGAGGTGGTCCCCACCGTTCAACTGTTTTACTTTCTTGTGCTGTTTCTTTAAAGGGACTGCACATGAAAGTCAGAAAAACAGCTAAGCAGTGGACAGGCTCTCCCCACTGCTCAGCTGTTTCAGCTTTCTTGTGCAGTGAAGGGACTGCAAAAGATATTCCGAAAAACAACTGAGCGGCAGGGAGGCACTTCCAGCCACTCAGTTGTTTTTGCGGCTTTACCAGGGAACAGAAAGCAGGAGACCCTTCAAACCCCTGCTTTCTGCTCTATCCACGAACCACCAAGAACTGCTTCACAAGTTCATGGAAGTTTGTGATGGCGAACCTATCAGAAACTCCAGTTTGCGAACCACAAATAGGCAAACTTTGGCAGGGTTCGATTCGTGCCCATCCCCACATAGAATACCCACAGACTCACTGAGGATTACCTCCCGCCTCCTCCTTAGGCCACAAAGCATCCAAACTTGTATCAGATAGATTCTCCCTTCCCCTTACCCAGCAGACTTGATTTGGCTCCAGAATCCTTCTGTTTTGAAAGCAAAGAGGCATCCCTGCCCAGCAAGTGCTGTGAATACATCCTGCTCCAATCTGATGGCCTCAGCTCGCTGCCAACCGTTGGCATTCTCCTCTCTGCAGGGATGGGAGAAAGTAAGAACGAGGGAGGCAGACCTGCTCACTGGAAAGGGGTGGGGGGTGGGGTGGGAGAACGCATAGCTAGCAGAAAGTTGGCTAGGTAGAAATTTTCAAACTAGGAATTGAGGATAGGAACTGCAAAGCTTCCACCAGTGCAGGGGAACCAAAAAGCCCATTCTAAGCCTACATGCTCCCGGCCAGCACAGCAGAGCCCCACTGGCCCGTGAGTGGAAAGCATGCAAAGATGAAGGGAGAGACCAGAACTTACCCCAGGAATGAACCCCTGAAGTTGGGCAAATGATGGCAGGAGGGGAAGGAGGAGATGTAGGGGTGGAAAGAGAGAGGGGGGGGGGAAGAGAGAGAGAGATGGCAGATGAGTGACCTGCTCCTGCCCGGGATCAGGACGGGCACAAAGGCATGGGCTGGGCAAGACACCTACAGAAGCAGCTCCTGCTGGTTCCGCTGGAAGACCGCACCGATGTGCTGGAAGATTGCAGGCGTGAACAAGTAGATGCCACAGTTGATGAGCTCGCTGACAAAAGTGCTGGGCTTCTCCACATAGTGCAGGACCTGGAGAAGAGAGATGACCTCTTGGGAGCTGGCCACACACTGCTTGGCTTTGTCCTGAGCCAGGGTTGAGGAAGGAAGGAGCAGGCGGGGCACCAGGGGTGCGGCTCTTGGCTGGGACAGGCCCCCTGCCCGGTCCTTCCACCTGTCCCACACGTACCTCGTGGGAGTCAGCGTTCGCCACGATACAGCCATAGTTCAGGGACTGCTTTCTGTTGGCCTACAGAGAAATAAAACCATTGTTACAAAGAAGTATGGTGGGCTGGAAATGGCAGAAGGGGGAACTAGGTAGTCAATAATGCACTGCTGACCAGAAGCCTGAAAGGGATTGCCATCTGTAGCCCAGGCAGCATTGTTCACCTTGGGCAGCAGAGACGTGGTCTTCAGTGGGCTGAGAGCTTGGCTAGCGTATAAACTATGACAGAACTCACATCTTCCACTTGAAGTGCTTTTCAGCCCCTTACCAACCAATGCTTGTGAGAACCAGCACGACAGTGAGAGTATTGAACTAGGATCTGGGAGCCCTACGTTCAAATCCTGCCATGGTCAGAGAAGTCTGCTGAGTGATACTGTGCCAGATACTCCCTGTGACACTAATCTACCTCACAGGGCTGTTGCTGTTGTGAAGATCAAATGGAGAAAGGGAGAGCAATGTCATAATCTGATTTAGGTCCTCCTCACTGGGGAGAAAGCAGAGGGTGTATCAATATATAAGTTGTGTAAAAAAGAGAAAAGTGGGTAACTTGAAATGTGCTTGTACTTGGCTTCTGAATTAACCGATGGCCACACGGAACAAGGGATTCACAACTGCATTTCAACCTTCACTTTACAAAGTGTGGATGAGTTTGATTTTAGAGATTAAATTGCACATCTGGAAGACCCTAGTTTGAGTCTTGCCTCTACCATGAACTCATGAGGTGACATCAGGCGAGCTACTGTCAGACCTCCATTTGCAAAGGAGGGATAACAGGACTGCTTGCATTACAGGGTCCCCCCCCTCCCCTCTCCTCAAAGCAGTTTAGGGCCGCTTGTATGGCTCTGCCTTCCTCGTTTTATTGTCACAACTCAGAGAAGTGGCCTAGGCTGGGAAAGAATGGCTTTCCATGGTCACACAGTGAGAGTCATGGCCAAGGAGCTCCCAGGTCCTAACCACTATACCACACTGCCCCCAGATTGTTCTAAATGTTATATAGCCCTTCCTAATGTTTACAGTGCTTGATGTTGGACTTGGACTCCCACAGCTGACCACAAGCAGAACTCCCCTTCTAGCCAAGGCTGCCCATTACCGTGGTGCCTAACATGAGGAACGCATCGGGGCTGCCGCGCTCCTGGTGGAAGGTCAGCATCTCTTCTAGAGGGAATTCGGAACAGACGTCGGCGTTGAGCACAAAAAAGGCCCCAGGGTTACCCAACAGGATCTGGTCCCGGAAGTGGTAGATGCCACCTCCTGTGCCAAGGGCTGCATATTCTTGCAGATACCTACGAAGGAGGATATTAACGGCCTTGTTTACATGAGGAGGAACAGCCCATGCCAGGCTAGCAGGCTGACAGATCAAAGTGGCAGCTGCCTGCAACAGAATCAGGCTGTGCAAATTCAGGATGCGGGTGGCGCACTCTGAAGCCAGCACTCTTCCTTGCCCTCCTCTGAGCTAGTAAAGGTAAAGGTTCCCTTGCTCAAAGGTTGCGGTGCTCATCTCCGTTTCCAAGCCGAAGAGCCAGCGCTGTCCGAAGACGTTTCCGTGGTCATGTGGCCGGCATGACTAAACACCAAGGCGCACGGAACGCTGTTCCCTTCCCACCGAAGTGGTCCCTCTTTATCTACTTGCAATTTCTTGCTTTCGAACTGCTAGGTTGGCAGGAGCTGGAACTAGAGACGGGAGCTCACTCCGTCATGCGGCACACTCGGGTCTCGAACTGCTGAACTACCGACCTTCCACAGCCTGCAGTTCAGTGTCTTAACCACTCGAGCCACCGCAGCCCCTGAGCTACACCACAGTTATTGATTTATTCCTTAGATCCCACATCTATATATCTAATAGTCAAGTGGCCCCGTGAGTGCGGATCGCTAAATCCACACTCCGGGGCCACCTGGGGGGCAGGGGGAGGTTTGTGCACTCTTGGGGCAGTCCCCAGGGGTGCACAAAAATCTTAAAAGTTTAAAAAAATTCCTGAGGGTCCTTAAATTTGCTAAAATAAAAAAGAGCGTCCCCTGCGCATGCGCGCCGAACGCTCTTGGAACGGGGGTTGGAGTTTGCAGCCAGCAGGAGGGGCGGCACGTTCTTTCCCTTGCCCCCAGCCAACCTTTCCTTTCTGCGGGGCCTCGCACCTCTTCGCCGGCTTCCTCTCCTCTGTCGCGTCGCCTCCCCCGCCCGGGCCGCAGCGTCCCCGGCCCTTCAGCGTCCTGATACGGTCGGCAGGCGGGAAAGGTGGGGGGAGCCCTGAGGCGGCGAGCACGCAATCCATTCCCGGAGGAAGAGCCGCCGCTGCCCCCAACTAGGCTGAGGCGGAGGGGGCGATGCTGGTGGAGGGAGGAGGAGGGGGAGGGCCGCGCCGCGCTCGCCCGCTGGGTCTCCCTCTGCCGACAGGGAGGAGGGAGGAGGAGGACGCGCGTTCCCGACAGCCGCCGTTCAGCCCTGACCTCGCCAAGCAGTGTCCCCCCCCCCGCCACTACGGGGCTGCCCGGTTGAGCCCCGACCTCGCCGTGCAGTCCCCCCCCGCGAGTATCGCGGGTCTCCCTTCTTGTTTCTCCCTAATTGGGACCCAAAGCCACTTTCCACATTTTTCTCCCCTCCTCCATGTTATGCTCATAACGTTGGTCAGGCTGGGAGGCTGCAATGGGCCCCAGGGTCACCCAGCAAGTTTTCTCAGCAGAGCAGGGGTTCAGGCCCCCCCCCCCCCGGGTTCTAGTCCAACACTCTGATCACTCCGCCACGCCAGCCCTCAAGCGGCCACTCACCGGATGGGCATTTTGAACTCTTGCTGGGCCGACACCAGGAAGCGGTTGAGAGCTTCATTGGGCTGATAGAACCCAATCAGGAGAATCTCCTTCATGTTGGGAACCTAGAGAGGACAGGAAGCAAGTTGAAATAACACCAGAGGTCATCTCAGACCCTGCCCCAAAGAGTCGACCTTGTTGTCTCTGTCTGCTTTATGCTGTTAGAGTTGACAAGAACATGACGAACCAAATGCCTGCCCCCCCGGCCTCATGTGAACTCCCCTCATTACCTTAGTGCATGCCTCAATGTGATGCTGTATCATAGGCACCCCTGCGACAGGAAACAGGGGCTTGGGTACTTCAAAGGACAAGGGTCGGAAGCGGGTCCCTGCAAGAGCAAAAGCCACACAGTCAGAGGGCTGGCGTCCACACACGCCTCAACCCTTCCTCCCTCAGACGGCAGCGACCCATTGGCAAATGCAGCCCTTCTGCCATGCTTGGACCCTGCTCCAGACTCCAGAGCTTTCTGCCTCCAGATTTCAACTCCCATTGATGAGGCAATCAGTGAGGGTGGGGGAAGCATCCAGGCACCCCTCCATTACACTGGGATCCAGCTCCAGAGGAGAATCCCCTTCTCCCAGAATACTGAATATTCATAGGTAAAGGTAAAGGTTCTCTTGCTCGAAAGCCAGTCGAATCCGACTCTAGGGTTGCAGTGCTCATCTCCGTTTCAAAGCAGAAGAGCCAGCGCTGTCCAAAGACGTTTCCATGGTTATGTGGCCAGCATGACTAAACACCAAGGCACATGGAACGCTGTTACCTTCCCACCAAAGTGGTCCCTATTTATCTACTTGCAATTTCTTGCTTTCGAAGTGCTAGGTTGGCAGGAGCTGGAACTAGAGACGGGAGATCACTCCGTCATGCGGCACACCCGGATCTCAAACTGCTGAACTACCGACCTTCCACAGCCTGCAGTTCAGCGTCTTAACCACTTGAGCCACCGCAGCTCCCCTGAATATTCATACACACATATTATTGCTCTGAACAGTTTTCGGAGCCAATGCTGATTGGAAACAAAAAAACAAATCTGGATGCAGTCATAACAAGTAAACCACAGATTATTCTTTAGATGAGGTGGACTACAAAATCACAAGCAGAGCAAGATGCATCACGCCAAGGTTCCTGAGGACCACAAGGACTGAGCCGTGGGAGGATACTGTATGATTGTATTGTTTTTATTGTTATAATCTGGCATTTATGCCCTTGTTAGCTGCCCTGAGCCTTCGGGGAGGGCGGGATACAAATCTAAAGAATAAAATAAAATAAACAAATAATAAATAAATACAAAGGCAGCCCCATGCAAGTGAAACCATGATTCATTGGCGCCAGAGTTCAGCCCTGGAGCTCGTTTTCGGTGTCAAGATCCCACCTCTCTGCACAAGGTGAAACGATATTGGAAGGCGGCCTCTGAACATGCGCAGAGTACCTTCCCCCTCCCTACAAGCCGCAGTCAGTCTTCCACAGGTTATTTCCGGAAACAAGACATCCAGGTGGAGGATCTTTCGCTCCATCACCACTTCTCTCGCCCTTCTCTCCAAAAAAGAGGCATGCCGCCCCCATCCCTACCCCGACCCCCCACCAATGTTCCCTCTAAGCCGTGGAGTCTTGTGAGCGGAAATTCGACTTCGTGAGCGACTGGCAATAAAAAAAAAGTTGTGAGCGGGCGATTCGGCGGCTGCACGAATTGAGTTTGCTCTGGAGCCCTCCTTCCTGAGCAAAGGCAAAAATGTGTGAGCCGGAGGCTAACAAACTGAGAGCCGGCTCACACTCACTCAGCTTAGAGGGAGCACTGCCCCCCCACCCCACCCCCCACCAATGTTCCCTCTAAGCTGTGGAGTCTTGTGAGCAAAACTTCTACTTTGTGAGCTCCTGGCTTTAAAGTCGTGAGCGAGCGATTTGGCTACTGCATGAATGAGTTTGCTCCTGAGCTGAGACAAAAATGTGTGAGCCGGAGGCTAACAAACTGAGAGCTTGCTCACACTCACTCAGCTTAGAGGGAGCACTGCCCCCCACCCCACCCCACCCCCCACTAATGTTCCCTCTAAGCTGTGGGGTCTTGTGAGCAAAAGCTGCAAAAACTACTTTGTGAGCTACTGGCTTTAAAGTTGTGAGCAAGCGATTTGGCTACTGCATAAATGAGTTTGCTCTGGAGCCCTCCTTCCTGAGCGGAGACACAAATGAGTGAGCCAGAGGCTAAAAAAAACTGTGAGCCGGCTCACACTCACTCAGCTTAGAGGGAGCACTGCCCCCCCACCCCACCCCCCACCAATGTTCCCTCTAAGCTGTGGAGTCTTGTGAGCAAAACTTCTACTTTGTGAGCTACTGGCTTTAAAGCTGTGAGCGAGCGGTTTGGCTGCTGCATACATGAGTTTGCTCTGCAGCCCCATCCTTCCCGAGCTGAGACAGAAATGAGTGAGCCAGAGGCTAAAAAACTGCGAGCCGGCTCACACCCACTTAGCTTAGAGGGAACACTGCCCCCCACCCCACCAATGTTCCCTCTAAGCTGTGGAGCCTTGTGAGCAAAACTTCTACTTTGTGAGCTACTGGCTTTAAAGTTGTGAGCAAGCGATTTGGCTACTGCATGAATGAGTTTGCTCTGGAGCCCTCCTTCCTGAGCGGAGACAAAACTTTGTGACCTGGAGGCTAACAAACTGAGAGCTCGCTCACACTCACTCAGCTTAGAGGG